AGCAGATTTACTGCAATTTACCACCCCCCCCCAACCCTCTTGTCAGCAAAGTAAGCAAAGGTCTCAAAAAGAATAGTACAAAAATTATTTTTTATTATTTTTTTAAAAATAATGAAAAATATTATTTTGTAGGAATTTGTATAAAATTATTTTTTTGTAGGAATCCTGGAATATGTGAAAAAAATAAATAATAGTGTTGATGTAATCACCAAATAAGAAAATCAAAGAACCTCCCCTATAGTGCTTACGTAATGCTTGAACGGCCCCTACCTGATATATTAAAACAAACCTTAGAGTATATAGCTAGATTATGTATTTATTGATTTGTTATAATAGTACAGAGTAAACTCTTTATAACGAATGACTCTCTATAACGTAAAGATAAGTTAAATTTACTTGGTTTAACACAATACGCATACATTATTTCTTCCCTCCCTATAACGAAATCTCTCTATAACGAATAAAAACGCTTGGTCCCGTGAAATTCATTATAAAGAGCATAACGAATTTACACTGTATTTATATTATATATATTCCAGAATATTACCTGTATACATGTTCATGGTGTATTTCACGGCAACGTGGAGCCGATTTCTGGGTGACGGTCCACTATGGATCCCGATCATGGATAAAGAGGCTCAACTCTGCCGGCTCAAGTGGTGGTCTCACGCACTCTTCATACACAACCTGTATCGCCCTAACGATCGCTGTCTACTGCAAACATGGTATTTTTTTTAAGTATGACTTTATCCCACTTTGTTCATGTCATACTTTCGGGTTATTTCAACTTTAGTTAGAATAATTTCTGTTGAAAGTACACAATACGTTAACTACACGGAGTGGTTAAGATAGCAGCTGGGACCTCTGACCATCCTAACCACAACAAGACCTTGTGGCGAGATATCATATCTAAAATATGTCCTATAAGAACGCCGAACTGAGCTAATAGTATGATGGATAAATAAATACGGTTTTCAGGTTTGTTGCAGTAGATATGCAGCTGTATGCCTTAGCTATTCTACTGGCAATAGTGCTAACCCAACGGAGGAGAGCCGCTATTAAAACGCTTCTGGTTATGTTCATTGTCGCCGTTCTGTGTATTTTCGTTGCTGCTTATACATACGACTTAAATGCTATGTTTTTCATCTCGACCCCTGAGTAAGTTTGAGAGTGTTCACGAATTCATATATTTATAAACAGACGAGATCTTTGCAGGGAGTAAATAATTCGAATACTTTATTTGTCCTTATTGAATAGATATGTGAGGAAATTGTTCCACGGAGAACCGTCTTTTAACTGGTTGTATGCCGCCCCTTGGGGCAGTTTGCCCGCCTCATTGCTAGGCGTGATGCTCGGATTCCTATATTACAATCTACGGGAAGACAAAATCAATTTGCAAAACTACCGAGTAAGTTTAATCTTATTTTCAATATCGATAGTACCTAGTAGAAGACCTACCTAGTGGACCTTGATATGTTTCCCTGGTTTAAATGCATTATTTATTTAAGAAACCTCAAAACCAAATGGGACAGTTTATGCTACAAAGACTATGGCTAAGCTATGCATTAGAGTTTTTGTAAATCCATAACCGGAAAAACAAATAAAGTTTATATAAATGTTACTGTGGTAATTCCTATTAGTTCTGTTTAAATTCTTTATTTATATCCATAATAGGTATGGAAAGTAACCTTAACATTGTGATAAAACATTTAACAGTTTTAAGTTTGTTCAGTGCAATAATATTGCATCGTATTTTCCAGTGGTTCCGAGTACTATACCGTATCTCCATAGTCGCCATTTTTGCGTGGATGCTAAGCGCTTATCTGCTGCCGCAAAAGCCGTCTTATCTTCTCTCTACGGTCTATGCAGCTATTGACAGACCTGTCTACGCCATATTCTTTAGCGTTATGCTGTTGGGCTCTATATATCGGATTGATCGTAAGTACTGAGTTTAAAATATGTTAAATAAAAATCAATATTATACAATAAAACACCTATGAATTGTGTAAACGTAAATGCCTTGGGCGCCCAATGCACGCGTTGTTTAATTCGTAAGTTCAGATATTATTATTTTGAATTATTCATAACATATATGCAATGAAGTGTGAATAAATAAAAATACTTAAAAAACCTAATTTCTCTATAAAAATTGGTATAACCAGGTAATTTTTATAGAGCAAACGGGCGGCATGCTCACCTGATATTAAATAATACCACCGCTATACGAAGTGCGTTGCTTTGAAACAGTCAAATTACCTTTTGCAGAATTATGGTGGCGCTTTATGTCGTGGAGTGGTTGGCAGGTATTCGGCCGTATGACACTTTGTATCTATATGATTCATTGGAGTTTCAACTTGCTGCAGATAGCCTTACAGACCAATACCAATAAAGTGTCCATCTTTGAAATTGTAAGTCAAATAATTTCTAAAACGTAACATGTATGCGTAGATCTCATGTTGAGTTTTATAAATGTATAGAATTTACGTAGAAATCATCAAAAGAAAAAAGTATTCTCTCTGTAAAAATTGTCCTCTTATAGCTGGGGAGCCCAAGAGGGGATTTCGGGATTTACTCCAGCGTGGCAGATAATTATACAGGGAGATATAGACCTTGTATAATTATATTTTATTAGGTAGGCTAAGTTAGTTACATGCTAAGAAATTTATATTTCACTAATATGACAATTTGCAAGTAACGTAAAGAAAGGGGAGGGCTGTAAAGTTTTAAAAAAAACGTCATCTCGACATTCTCGAGCGTAGCAGATTTTTTTTATTTGGAAGGAAATAATTCAAGAATGACGAAAAATAAATAATCTGACGATTTCCACAAGCCGAAGTCAGAAAAATTCGTCGATAAAGTTTAACACGTGCGGCTGCGTGATGCCTATATTAGTTTAAAAATATTTACTATGAGTAATATTAACATAAAGTGTGCATTTTGTGGTGAAACTACTTTGCAGAAATCTTTTATTATAAACATTAGAAAAATGTATAAATATTTTAGAATATCGTCAAAGTAGACCGGTTCTTCCGGTTAATTTTTATTTATTATTATTATATTATAAATACAAGTTCTACTTGCACAACATACACTTTTTGCTATTTTCAGAGCTTATCAATCAATTAAGTTCTATGATTTAAAAAAAATAATAATCATCAGATTAAGCGAATCCCTCCAGATAATCGTCAGATTATGAGATATCACGTCAAGGACATAAAGATGAACGATATATATCTTAATCTGACGCACTTGAGTATGTCGAAATTGCGATATTTTTGCACATTCTAATAACGACCGCGCGTTTGCGTCACATTCTAATCGTCAGATTATTAGATGGGAGCTTTGTTTAGGTTCACTTAACACCCCCTTAGAAAATCTGACGCGCTCGATAAATTTTTTTTTTTACATTTTCAACCCTTACGTACGCAAACAATCAGATTAACATACGTACTTTATTAAAAATCCGTAGGACATGGATGCTATCAATATCTGACGCGCTGGATAGCCGGCTCCACCCACCGATGGATTTTCTTATAAAACATTTTTTTTCTTATTATTATCTAAGCTTCGCAACCCAATTGGTCTCTATGACGCTCGAGTAAACCCCTACTATAAGTCATGTTGTCATTATAGTTGGAATTGTAGTTATTTAATTACTACAAATAGAACATGACGCTAAATACTACTACTGTAATAACGAGTGGTTATTATATACCTAAAGTATCAGAATACATAAACGGTATCGCGGGATATTGGCACGAATTTCTTTCAAAAATACCGTAATGATTTTATAAAATTCCAGGGATAAAAACTAGGCATTAATCAATATTTTATTTTACAGGGCGGACACTTGTTTATTACAATACTTATGACCTGTATTACTTCAATCCCGCTACACATTATGGTGGAAAAACCTATTCAAATGTTATTGCGAGCATCTTTAAATATTTAATCGTAAGTATTCTGATTAAATACCTAGACGAGGTACTACATTCGTAGATGAATTAGTAATGAATTTTGTACGAGTATTTCGTAGTTTTTGGCTTTGAATTGGGTAAAGGAAAAATATACTTATGCAACGTATTTTAAACGTAATGGCATTTCTTTTTCTACTTAAAGAATGACAGTGTCAATATGCATATTAACACAAAAGTACGAGGAAAATGTTAATAATTAAGAAACCCCTTTTTCCATACAAACAAATTGAGGTAAAATGAGTCAAGTAATTTGCAAATTCATTCATACTAGACATCGGTGAAAAACGTCAACGCCGCCCATTTTCGTGCTAGTTCGGTAGGATAAAAAGAATCTCACAACCGGGACGTACATATCTATTATCGATTGTTAACTTTTTAGATTTCCAGAAGTGTCGTAAGAAGATTTCAATAAAACTCAACTATACCTAATGTGTGCCGTGAATCTAAAACTAATATACAGGTTATCGGTTATCGTTCCTTTGACAACAATCGGTCCTCAACCTCTGTAACATCTTTTAAATTCTTATATATAACTCTTAGCCATATCCTTTTCATCTGTTCAATTGCGACTTTTGTAATTGTATTATTTTTATTGTATTTTGAAATTGTGATTCATGATTCTTCTCCCTTACTAGGGATGCCTGGAAGGAAGCGATAAGGACGCTTGATACTTTTTTAATAATGTATGTTATCTATTAGTACATTATTATTAATACTACAAATTCTTAATAAATAAAAAAAATAAGCAAAAGCAAAATGTCGGCGTTTGAGCACCTCAAATATATTCAATGAAAATTTAATATACAAATTATTATAAAACTATAATTGTGTACGTAAAAAAGATGTTAATGGCTAATTATAGTTATACAAAAAGTACGCATATATTAGAAAAGCAAGCAGCTTTTGCAATTTCTCCTTCCACGCCGCACACCAAAGGTAACATAATTGTAACGTGAATGACCCAAAGTTAAAGTTCTTGAACTTTAAATATTAAATGTCATTATTTTGCTATCATTTCTGTTTCTATATGCCTAGAGAAGCTCGTAGAAATTTTTGTACCGGCATCTCGACCAGTAAATGGAGCGGTATAGACGTCAAATATGTCATTAAAACCGTCACGAGCCAGTGACCTAACTGAAAAAAATATAGGTAGAATTAAGGGGTTAGCTATATATCAAAAGCATCTAATAGTCCTAGTTTCTGATATGATAAAAGCCAAATTAAACACGAGTTCATACTACTTAAGAGAAGATCACCAGTTAAATAAAGGGTAGCACAATTTTACACTTATTTCTGCTTCGATTAAGTCAGATAAGAGGATAAACCTGCAAATATATAATCAGTACTTACATATTTCAAAACAGATACCTCGTTGACATTAGTTTGTAACGCAATCTGCATAAGGTTAAAAGTCCAGTGTACCATAAGAACGCAAAGTGACATGCGACCTAACAACTGCCAACCACTCCAAGACATGGCGCGCCAATAGATATCTGAAATTCGTGGTTTTACTGTTTAAAAATATTTTGAGATTTTCTACGAGTATAGCCACAAAACTATTTGCAAACAACATTTTTATTAATAACAACCATGTTTTTATTTTAGAAACAAAACAATTTTTAAAAATACAGTATTAACATAAGTTTAAAAATATTTTGAGAGTCTCTATAGCCACAAAACTATTTGTAAACAACGTTTTTATTAATAACAACCATGTTTTTATTTTAGAAACAAAACAATTTTTAAAAATATAGTATTAACTTAAGTTTATATATAAATTTTGTAAAGGCTTCATATGATTCATTCAGACTACTACATTACACTCATATAAGACAATATCATCTTGTCTTTAGCCTCAAAACGTTAAGGTTTCATCTGCTCGGCCCTGAGATTTAAAAAAGTGATATGTGTGACTATCGCAGTTCATTTAATGAAGTGACTTGTGAGTTGAAATCACGAATTATCACTATCGTAGGACTTGAGCTTTTCTACGCATGTATCATATATCACGACGACGATCCACGATCACTATATTAGGATTCTTAGATTCAAAAGTAGCCCTTATCAAATAAAAACCATCGTTTAAGAAATTTCTTTACTCTTGGTCGTCGCCATTGTAAACTTGGAATATAAATAGTTTTAAGCATGAAAATACTTACTATCAATGCGGTAGATAAAACCCAACAGTACTATACAAAAGATAATACATGTGATAGGTCTATCGAATGCTGCGTAAAACGCAGATACTAAACGACTGGGCTCATCAGGTAGAAAATATCCAGCGTAGATCCATCCAAAAAAACCCGGCACTGACGCTCGATATACTATTTTAAACCACTGTAATAAAAGATATTGCACCTATCGAGTTTGTTTAGTTTTAAGAGTTATTTGAAAGATTATATACGTATATAGTATTTATGCAACCAACCACTTCCACTGCTAGAACTTTGATCTTTTCAAGTTGAAGTGCTAGAGTATAATAGTACAATAGTCAAGTTTAGAGGATTATAATATATCTAAAATGTTCCAAATAATAATAAAACCATCTTTTTCTTTAAAGCACAAATTCGGCCCCACATGGAGTACTGCTCTCACCTCTGGGCGGGGGCTCCCCAGTACCAGCTCCTTCCACTTGACCGTATACAACGCAGAGCGGTTCGAATCGTCGACGACCAATCCCTCTCCGAGCGGCTTGATCCTTTGGCGTTGCGTAGAGATGTGGGGTCACTCTGCATCTTCTACCGCATTTACCATGGAGAGTGTTCAGAGGAGTTGTTCGGATTAATACCTGCAGCTGAGTTTCATCATCGGACGTCGAGGCAGAATACGAAATTGTACCCGTATCACCTCGACGTCCGACGTTCCACAACTGAGCGTTTCTCAAGGCAGTTTTTGCCGCGCACCACCACTATGTGGAACCAGCTGCCCACTGAAGTATTCCCGAACCAATTCGACTTAGGGTCCTTCAAGAAAAGAGCGTACCAATTTTTAAAAGGCCGGCAACGCACTCGCGAGCCCTCTGGCATTGAGAGTGTCCATGGGCGGCGGTATCACTTAACATCAGGTGAGCCTCCTGCCCGTTTGCCCCACGTTCTATAAAAAAAAAAAAACAAATCTTGCTAAGCACCCATAGGACAGCCTCTTTCCCTGTCTTAAGGTTCAGATATTATCTTTAGACCTTGGGGTGCTCTTGAATAATATGCAAATTCAATATAGTTTTTTTGTGGTAGGACTATAAATTTAAAAGAAATAATGATTACCTTATACTTGTGTAAGTCGATTTTATTATTGCGCATTTCGTAGTACAGGTAAGCCGTCGCTATTCCTAGTAGAGAAGCGGGAAGGCTGGCCCACGGTGCGGCATACATCCATTTAAAAGACGGCATGCCATAATGTAGTTTCTTCAAATATCTTAATAGTAAATAATTAGGTTAGTTTTACTGTATGAGAATCGCAAAGTGAGTCGTTTTGGCCTAGTGGCTCCAGCTTGCGACTCTTATGTCTGAGGTCGTAGGTCTCCAGCCAACCAATGGACTTTCTGTCTATCTGTGCGCATCTAACACTGGTGAAGGAAAACATCGTATAGGCATATCCCAAATACAAAAATCTACGACATGTGATACACCTTGTCTATGAAGTAAAAATTATCAAAGAAACGGATAAAAAAAGTAGCAGAGTTTAGACTTCAGACACAAGTTTGATCCAGTATGGATCGACAACTGCCCGAGAAATACGTACCTGCATGGCCAGTGTAAAGAGTATGTATGTGCCAATGTGCTGTCGTGCCCAGAGCAAGGGGCGGTACGGCTGTGGAAGGGGCGTAGTAGGCAAAGCACTTCGTATCTAGCAATAATCCGACGAACCCAAAAGAGGGTCGACGGAGACTTGGTAGTTCTCTTGATGTGAGGTCCGACAAAGATGGTTTGTGACTATCTGGTATTTGCGTAATTGGGGGAACCATTTGTGTTAGGTCATATGCCGCGGCAATGTTATAAAAAGTATGTATAAATAATGTTCATTACAGGTTTGGTTAGGTTAGGTTAGGTAATTAAAAATGTAATTACTTACTCAGGATTAGTCAAATACAAGCTAGCCTTTAAATTGAAAGTGTAGGCAACGACGAAGTTACAAAGTATAGTGACCAAAAACAATAATGGTATAATTTTGATCACGACTTTTGTCCAACGGGTCAGTGCAATTGCCAGCACGATTGATAGTGCATACAGCTGCATGTCTACTGCAAGGAACCTGAAAACCGAGTTTGACGTAAATATGAAGAGAAACCGGCTAAATTACAGCAAACTAAAATTTGTATCTTTAAATTAAATTTAAATAAGATTTTTTTTTAATTTAAATAAGAAGAATAAAAAAAGGGAGGGCAAAACTTGCTGAGTTTCTTGCCCGTTCTTCTCAGAACAAGGCCTCCTGGTAGTTTTGCGAACGGATGGCGTAGTCTTGCTCCTTCGTGAATTTTGTAAACGTTGTTGACATTCATAAGCGTGCTCTAAGAAGCATCTAAATTGAATAAACGTATTTTGATTTTGATTTTATATAATCAAAAGACAATAAAATTTATTTAGATTAGCCCGAGCTGTCTTAAGATAATTTGAGATCACTGATATTAACCTAAAAATATTAATAGAAAGTTTAAGTTCGCGATTTTGACGTTTTGGTTACAATAGAAGCTTCAAAATTGAATTGGCTCAAACAATTATTTCTCTATTTCAGGATAAACTCATACCACGTTTGTATCAGACAGCGATCGTCAGGGCGGTAAAAGTTATTTATGAAGAGCGCGTGGGACCACCACTTCATCCGGCAGACCTGAGCTTCCTTCTCCATAATCGGAATCCACATCGTGCCGTCGGCTATGAAACGACTCCATGTTGCCGTAAAACCCACCACCGCGAGCGAAACAAATGCATGAATCAGTACGGTGCAAGCCACGGAGTCGAGCGGCAGTCGCGGCGAATAGAGAAGGGAATAAATAAGTTTAGTCGTGGTCGCGGCGAAAAATGAATACAGAGTTTTTTGTTACTGAAATACTGGCTAGACCAGCTATTTGGAAGTCTGGCCATCCACAGCATAAATTTAATATACCTTAATCTCAAAAACAATTTTTCAGCGGAACTTAAAATTCTATTTGCATTAACTTTTTTCTCCAATTCTGGTTGAATATTCATAAGAATATAATTGAAGGTTTCAATACTCATTCTGGTATACTCAAAAAAATAATTCTGGATATATTCTGAATTTCTCATACTTCTTGTGGAATTCTCCACAATTTCTCAAAATATTAGGTCTTGCACCAAAAGCTATTACTTTCCAAGCAATATCGAGATGATTTCGATAAAGACATTTCGCTGTCGAACTTCCTTACTGGTCGCGGCGGCAAACGTGACTGGTCCGTGGCCTGCAAACGGCCCCGCGCGAATGGTCGCCTCGCCTCCCGCATCGCAGTTCGCACCGCCGATCCCCGTGGCCAGGCCGTAAGATACGGTATCTCTTTAATTTTCGGCTCACATTCGTTATTATAAATAATATGTTATCGTTTGTCAATACATAACATAAAAAAGCATAAAGTAGCTTAAAGATTTTTTTTATCCTAAAACATAAAAAAATGGACAGTCTACGTTTGCATAAATATATAGGTACACAACTACTGAAGGTGTGATTAATTCACTTATTATGTAAGGATATAAACAGCTAAAGATTAAGGTGAATAATGATTTTATTGAATTTAATTCAACGCTGAGATTTTTTAATTATTTAAATTTGTTTTGAAGTATTTATAAGTTTTTATAAGAATGTACGTAATGTAAATTATATAAAGATATTATAAAGATCACTATAATCCTTCTACCTATTCGGGGCTTAATTTTTTTTTATAAATCGTGAATTTTGTCTAAATAATAAGCTTATAATAAGTCTAAACATGTACTATTTTACAATATAACTATTCTATACTGCATGCCATTTATTTTCCTACAAATGCATTTGTATGTATGGAAAGCAAATAAAATAATTTTTGAACTGGTATCGATATACGAATACTTGAGAGTTCAAATCAAAATGTTTTTCTTGAGGGTAGACTAGAGAAAGATATAATACTTGGAAATAGCATGTCCCTACTAACGTACCCACCAAATGCAATTTTTATTATAAATTTATATATAGCAGACCTAACAATGCGTCGTAGCACCAGAACAAAGAATATGAGGACAGGAGATCGCTTCGTGTATTGCCCACCCAGGAGTAGGAAATGATGGACGAAGATAAAACTGGATAGCACGATGTATGTTTGCACGCCCTGGCTGCCGTTCATCAGAATCATGAATGCTGAATTCCGCCTCATCTATTGCAAAGAAATACAAGTTCTTCATATCGTATCTTTCCGCTACCGAAAATCCGCTATACTAATCTTCTTTATATTCTTGAATGACAGTGTTTACTTTTCATGTATACATTGTCATTCAAGAAGATTTAAAAAAAATGTTTATAAGAGATCCCCTAGAAGTCAGGGATATTTTAAAGTCTACGATATTTCATTGTGCTACGGGGTATTAACTAAATATTTACAGGCAAGAGACAGCGCGTTTCATGAATTTAACGATTTTTTTTAAAAGAAAAATTCCAGGTGCGACCTGGAGGTCTTTAATATGTTAGTTAACTGCTAGAGTTATCTGTTATGGTGGGTGGCCAGGTTAGCGTTTATTAAAATAAGACGACAATACTGTTATTCATAAACATATATCAGCCATGACAGGCGGTCGTAGTGATACCACAGGAAGCGGAAACCATAGATAATATCAAGTCATAGATACGTAACATTATCCTGTTATTAACTTGTTGCTCCAGCACCTGGCAGCTGTGAACACTGGCCATTCAGAATAAAGTGTTGGTTGGATACAAATGAAATCGATATAAACATTCGGCAAACGCACCATGTTCTGTCAGAATTTGAACATTTTTTCTTTGACTAGCTTATGAGTGTCTTTTCCATTTTTTATGAAGTTTTTTATCAAGCTTACAGTTAGGCTCTGACGTAACCTAACGTTCCCATTTATTTATAGTCTGCTGCAGTCATGTATAAAGTCTTAACCAAGCCCCACTTAAGTTAAAATAACTCACCGATTCTGGTGCTTTAGTGTTGTAAAGGTATGCAATATGTATCGCTATTGCTGAATGAGCCATCATTATTAATAGCAGGATAAATGATCTGAAATATTTATTATAGGACAATGAACAATTAAAATATGCGAGTCTTAAAAATATATTAAAACTATCCTAATAAAGGTTTAAATGCATCAAATAACACTTCAAATACGAACATTGTTCTAAATTGCCATAAGCCATCCTACTAAATACCTATCGAACCGTTCACCATTCTTCCTCGTTAGCAATTAACTATTAGTGTACTCTCGATGACTCTAACAGCAGTTTTTTTTTAATTTTTGCGATAGTTTTTTTAATACACTTTTTGCTAGCCACAACGCTTGATATTTATTTCTTTCTAGAATATCTAAAATATTATAAAAAGGATGTCTTACTTTATACCATGTATGGAGTTGAACCGGGACACGATGGTGTCTTCGTTGGGGTAAATATGAGTGAAGTTCTTGTAATTGCTAATAAGAGACCACGATAGTAGTAGCTGGTTGCCTTAAAACATATTAAGTTATAATTTACACACAGCATTGCAGCACACACAAAAATATTAGGGCTTAAAAATAAAAAATAAATTACCTTTGTTTGTCTTATCCCTAAAAATATCGTACATGGTTCCGAGTACATTTGCCGCAAGCAGCGCGATGAAGAGAGCTAAGAAAATATCGTCGGCAACATCACGCGGTACGCTCGGGGGTGTCTGCGCGTCCTTGCAGTAATCCAGGCGTAGCATGGAAGCTTCTAAGCCATATTGAGACCTAAGACAGAGGCACGTTCATCTGTATCTACTCCATAAAAACTTTGAGCAATGGTAAAGATTATAACGTGGGAACCCTATATGTATAGTCGCGATACAATATCAATTAAATTTATTCGTATTTAATAAATACCTTGTGATGTTATTAACGCACTGCTGGAATTGCTGTTTGGGGGACATTGGCGTGTTAGAAACGTCGATGCAGCTCGAGCTCAGACACAATCCTCGATGCAGCTGTGTATGGTTGAACCGATATCTCGTATTGGAAGAAACCCACTAAAAATGGAATTATATAGAGTTATTGTTCAGTGATTAAATTATAAATTAATATAGGGTAGGTACCTGTAGAAGTCTGTAAAGTTGGTTGTCATTAGGTGCGGATAAGTAAAAGGAACCCAGGCAAAAAGTGCCATTCCTACCCAGGCACGCGTCATAATCGTCCAACTGGAATAGCGGTGGCATCGCGTAGTATAAATCATCTGAAAATGATTACAGCTATGTAATATGTTCATATTTGAATATGTTTATTCGTTCATAATATATAAAATATACATATAAAAAAGGAAAAAACATAATAGGATTAGGTATAATAAACTAAGATGACGTCGTTACTAACCATAACAAATTACTTTAATATTAATATTTTTGGACAAAAACATCTATTTAACAAATATATTCCTCAGAATGAGCGACGCGTTTTATTTAACGTAGTATCACGTGGCTTTAAAAAAATGAAAGAAAAGTTAAGGAAAACTGATACTTGCTATTATAAGGAAAACTGACTTAGAGTCATGAAACAAATACACAAGGGAAACTGTTTTGTGTAAGCGATCTTAAATGATTGCTGCTTCTGATTTTAAAATATGTAATTTTTCATCTTGTCATATTTTAAAATAATAAACTCTTTATTATCATGAGACATAGAGGAAAGAAGTAATAATTAGGCGAGGGTCTGGGCACATCCCATCAAAAAATGCGAACACATGCCTCATGGGAAATATCTCAACACCCTGTTTAATATGTGCAGTAATTCTACGAATTTCATGCTATAGTACTGGCCACGTTTCATATCTGGCACCTGGACAGAGACTTCAAGAAGATCTGAATGCAAAGTATAACTCATTTAAATAAAACAGAGATATTAATATTAGTTCGGCTTGTCCTCGTTCGGAGGAAACAACACTTTTATTGGTATTTTAAAGTAGTTTGTTAGAAGATAGTAGCTTTTATATAAGTAGTTAATAAGAGGTAAGGAAGGTATATTTCGGAAGATATTCTGGAATCAAACCAAATGAGACTTATTTATATTCACATAATTACCACTTAGTGGTAGAACCGGGTTTTGAGATTAAGATACTTTATTATTTTATTTTTGTCTAATAGCAATGAATTCAACCAAAAACTAATAGGTGCTCATCGGGCATCTCTGATCAAGTTAAAAATGTAATTCAGCGAAAAATACATCTCGTTCATAATCCTGCTTCGTATAGACGGCAGGAATCGTCAATAAAAATAAATAACTTACCAGTTATATCATTGACACTTTTCAAATGAGAAAATTTCAACGTTTGTGAAATAGTGTTAGACTTCGAAGAATTATTGTTCTCAATTATTGCATTCATTTTATCGGGTATCCATTTTTGTGCACTAGACTTGTTGGATAAGAAAATCTGTTCTGGACAGACGTCATGCTGATCTAAAATGAAAAAAAACACTCAAAAAAGTAATATCGAAATTACTCAAATAACATGCACAATAACAGTTAGCAATTTTTAATCACCAATTGTAAATAAATTCATTATTTACAAGATGTAAATAATGAATTTAACGTTATTTATAAAATCTGTGTAAGCATTATTATCTATAAATTTTAATATTTTTGTGTTTGCGTTTCCCCATTTTTCAAACTAAGTACGTATTACATTGTATTGCGGTGCTGTTTATTTGTAGCCCACAAAGTCTCTGTAAAGGCTTTCGAGGGTTCTTAAAGCTATTTTGACGTAGACAAACGAATGCCTGAACTAAAGTGCACAATTACATTCATTATTATTCCATATACCTACGACATTGGACTAACAGTGTCCTTTCTACAGCACAATTGTTAGGGATTTTAAGCCGTACCGTCCTATAATTTAGGAAATAAAAGCTGCTTTCCAAATGGGATATTTCCCATATCGAACCATGGAACCCTCGGTACTAGACATAACATAGGCAAATAGGAATATTCAATAAAATCTAGCCCTTTACTCTTAAAAGAAACAAATACCATTCAATTTTGCCTCTACCACAGTTAATATCACTAACAACAGCCACTTAACCATCTTAAAAGACACGCGTAGTTACTGCAATCACGCGAACTTACGACTCAATTCTATGACCTTGTGCAGTTTTATATAAAGTCAAGATTAACTTAAAAATTTATTATAATTACATACCTCGATAAAAAATAATTTTAAGATTCTTTTAATTAGAGTATATTCAGGCTTTTTTATAAGAGAATAACATAATATTACTTAAAGACATTAAATTGTATTGAGAAATATTCAAAATAAACTACTAAATAACTTTTTCTTATTTGTTATTATTACCTACCAGATAAGATAAACGTGGTTATTGCAATACGTACAATTATTACCTATTATATAAAAAGAATACATAGCTTTCTGATTTTGTCACTGTTACCATTTCTTTTGTACTATAATTTAACTGCAAAACAAATATTTCCTAACATAACATTATCTATGTAATTTATAATTTATTTTATAAATGCCAATTGAAGGTGTGCCGAGAAATGCGTGGCTAGGAGCGAGCCTAGTCGTGAACGTATCCTCTTTGCTGGGGGTGGGAATCCCTAGTATGTAACTTTGTATGTATTCCTATCATGCGGGGCTCTGATACGATGGTCAATTTATATTGCCCTAACCACTCGAGGGAACGCCATGGAACATATTACGAATTTATGACGGACATACCATTCGTTACATCACGTTTCGCGAAAGGGCAAGAAGCAGCACGCGGAGAGCCGATCACTCGACGACACCTTTAATGTGTGCGAGGGAATGGATGGAAAATAGATGAGGATCAATTTTATATAATAAAACACCTATATACTGTACAAAGTGTATGTATGCAATAAGGTGTGAATAAATAAAAACATATAAAGAAATTAGTAAAATCAGTTTTATTTTTATAGAACAAACGGGCACGAAGACTGATGTTAAGTAATACCGCCGCCTATGGACGCTAACACTTCCAGAAGACGTCGCCGATCTTTTAAGCAGTCAAACTTTCTATTACAGCTATAATATCCAATAATATTAGGGATATTGTTTACAGAATTATGGCGCCGTTTTGTCGTGGAGTGGAGGGCAGCCTTGCGATTCTGTAACTCACTTTTCGAACTCTCACAGCGGTTTTCGCAGCGGCGGTCGCGCTCAAATCAGTCGTGAAGCAGTCATTTTACGATTTGGCATTCTGAAAAGGAGGGAGCTTGTAGTTTATTGTTATGCCCTCTTGTCCTCCGTCAATGTTCCAGCCATTTTGGAGCCAACAGGCATCGCTAGAGACGATGGCAAGCGGCTGGATGGGATTTCGTTTATCCCTTGGAAAATGGGACAGGCAATTTGGTATGGGATGCTACTTGTGTGGACACGTTTGCCGGTGGTGTTTTAGAGGTTAAAATAATAAATGGCTCCAATATTAGAGTCTCTCCTCCAACTTCGACTTTGTTTCCTTTGGAGTAGAGACTCTTGGGCCATGGGGTTTAAGTGCACAGGCGCTAATTAAAGATTTAAGTTGGCTCCTGGTAAATAGTACCGGTAACCCCAGAGCTGGTGCTTTCCTCGCTCAACGAATAAGTATCGCAATACAACGAGGAAATTCTGCCAGCGTTAAAGGTATATTGCCACAGGGACCAAACTTTTAAATTTTCTTTATAATTATTACTATGTAGGTTAAAAAAATTGTAACCGAAATAACATTGTTAGACATGAGAAATTTTCATAAGTAGCCTAACACTTTATAGTTTTAGCCCAATCTGTCGTAAACTGCTTTAACACGTTCACTGCGTAACAGGCCGATATCGGCCTGCCGTGGTACTTCAGCTGGTGCGGACGAAGAAATCTATGTCCCTCTCGCTGGTGCGTAACGATTATCTCAGGTGTTTGTAAAAATTCGACAGGGACAAACATATATTTCATCTTGCGGTCAAAATTGTAGGTTTTCCCCATCAAAACATAACGGCAGGCTTTTATCGACCTACCACGCACTGACGCTGCTGTGCATCCGCTGAGTGCGGCAGTGGGCCTATTTCAGCCCGCCCACCCAACAGGCAGCTGGCGACCCGATACCGCACAGAGCGGCGCGCCCGGCTAATTAGTGTTGTGCTATCTAACTGATCTAACGTAGCGTTCGATATAATCAACGATGGCAAGCAATACAAGAAAAATACAAATTTTGGAAAATAGAGTAATTCTCCTTGCAGTTATTGACATTGATAGTGACAGCAGTGAAGAAATATTTTCCACTAAGCAAAATAAAAAGTATTTCTGTTTCCAAGACAGGCATACATAAGTAAATAAATACATTTTCAGTTCTTTTACGATAATTCTGTTTTATTTTCGATATCCCCTTATTTCTCTGTCCCATCACTACTAAAAATATAATCTAGTGCGGTTCAGGTCGATATCGGCCTGCCGCTTTTCCTGCTTTATTTCTCATTTCCTGTTTGCCAGATCCCGGGGCGAATCAAACCTAAGGAAGTTGGGTTCAAGGTCATTCTAACAATATAACAAAAAAAATATTATACATTATGTTTCCACAAAGTTATAGCAATTTAATCTATCCTAGTGCTGTTGGGTCTAAAAAGACCTGCCACGCACCGGCAGAAATATCATTGGGGGCGCATTTTGGCCCGCCGCTGCACCTGATTAAGAATTATGATTTTACTTGCCGCAGTGAACGTGTTAAGACCAAAGGGAATCCAGTCATCAATCCAGAAATGTAGAGCCATTGTAGATATTTGTAACCAAAGCACAATAAGACAATCTGAGCCTAACCACTCAATAACGTACTTTAAAGGCAAGTGGTTAGATACTGAAAGTGAATTTATTAATAAATAATACTTATAATTAATTGTTCTAAATTTATTTAATCATGTTTCTATACTATTTCAGTTTACTTAAGTTAAAATATCTGTTCGATGCTGTAAAAATTATAATATAATATTTAAAATTGTATGCTATTTAGACAATAGGTGATTTAAGATGTTTGTTTAAATTTTTCTCACAATTAAGGATCTTCGTCATAAAGTTATGAAATGTGCTTCCCTATCCCATATGATTAGCTACCTCTGTAACATCTTTTAAATTCTTATATGAATTCATGATTCTTCTCCCTTACTAGGGATGCCTGGAAGGAAGCGATAAGGACGCTTGATACTTTTTTAATAATGTATGTTATCTATTAGTACATTATTATTAATACAACAAATTCTTAATAAATAAATAAAATAAGCAAAAGCAAAATGTCGGCGTTTGAGCGCCTCAAATATATTCAATGAAAATTTAATGTACAAATTATTATAAAACTATAATTGTGTACGTAAAAAAGATGTTAATGGCTTATTAAAGTTATACAAAAAGTACGCATATATTAGAAAAGCAAGCAGCTTATGCAATTTCTCCTTCCACGCCGCACACCAAAGGTAACATAATTGTAACGTGAATGACCCAAAGTTAAAGTTCTTGAACTTTAACTATTAAATGTCATTATTTTGCTATCATTTCTGTTTCTATATGCCTAGAGAAGCTCGTAGAAATTTTTGTACCGGCATCTCGACCAGTAAATGGAGCGGTATAGACGTCAAATATGTCATTAAAACCGTCACGAGCCAGTGACCTAACTGAAAAAAATATAGGTAGAATTAAGGGGTAATAGTCTCATTAAAAAAAACATAAAATTAACAAATTTTTAGAATATGACTTTTGTCATATCAGAAACTACTTGCTTTCCATTTATTAAGTCAGAGGATAAATCTGCAAATATATAATCATTACTTACATTTCTCAAAACAGATACCTCGTTGACATTAGTTTGTAACGCAATCTGCATAAGGTTAAAAGTCCAGTGTACCGTAAGAACGCAAAGTGACATGCGACCTAACAACTGCCAACCACTCCAAGACGCCATGCGCCAATAGATATCTGAAATTCGTGGTTTTACTGATTAAAAATATATTAGAAATAACACAACTTTTAAAAATACAGTATAACATAACTTTATTTTTTAATTTTGTAAATTGCACTTTGTAGGTAAAGTGTAATATAAAGGCTTCATATGATATCATATCATTTCATATATCATATGATTCATCCACACACTAATATAAGACAAGAAAAAAAAAAGAAAAAGAAATTAATTAAGTTAAAGAAATTTCTTTACTCTTGGTCGTCGCCATTGTAAACTTGGAATATAAATAGTTTTAAGCATGAAAATACTTACTATCAATGCGGTAGATAAAACCCAACAGTACTATACAAAAGATAATACATGTGATAGGTCTATCGAATGCTGCGTAAAACGCAGATACTAAACGACTGGGCTCATCAGGTAGAAAATATCCAGCGTAGATCCATCCAAAAAAACCCGGCACTGACGCTCGATATACTATTTTAAACCACTGTAATAAAAGATATTGCACCTATCGAGTTTGTTTAGTTTTAAGAGTTATTTGAAAGATTATATATAGTATTTATGCAACCAACCACTTCCACTGCTAGAACTTTGATCTTTTCAAGTTGAAGTGCTAGAGTATAATAGTACAATAGTCAAGTTTAGAGGATTATAATATATCTAAAATGTTCCAAATAATAATAAAACCATCTTGCTAAGCACCCATAGGACTCTCTATCTCTGTTTTATGTTTCAGATGTCTTCAGACCTTGGGGTGTTCTATATGCAAATACAAAATATTTTTTTTTGGTAGATAAATAAGGATTACCTTATACTTGAATAAGTCGATTTTATTATTGCGCATTTCGTAGTACAGGTAAGCCGTCGCTATTCCTAGTAGAGAAGCGGGAAGGCTGGCCCACGGTGCGGCATACATCCATTTAAAAGACGGCATGCCATAATGTAGTTTCTTCAAATATCTTAATAGTAAATAATTAGGTTAGTTTTACAGTATAAGAATCGCAAAGACAGCTGTGTTGGCCTAGTGGCTTCAAATTGCGACTCTTATGTCTGAGGTCGTAGGTTTGTACTAGTAGAGTTTCTGTCTATGTGCGCATCTAAAATTGGCTCTTGCGGTGAAGGAAAACATGGTATCGGCATATCCCAATTACAAACCTTGTCTATGAAGTAAAAATTATCAAAGAAACGGATAAAAATTAAAAAAAACGTAGCAGAAATTAGACTTCAGACACAAGTTTGATCCAGTATAGATCAACAACTGCCCGAGAAATACCTGCATGACCAGTGGAAAGAGTATGTGCCCCTGTACTATCGTGCGCAGAGCAAGGGCCGTACGGCCGTAGAGGGCGCGTAGTACGCAAAGTACTCCGTACCAAGCAATGATCCGACGAACCCAAAAGAGGGTCGACGGAGACTCGGTGGTTCTCTGGATGTGAGGTCCGACAAAGATGGTTTGTGACTATCTGGTATTCGCGTAATTGCGGGAAATTTGTGTTAGGTCATATGCCAAGGCAAAGTCATAAAAAGTATGTATAAATAATGTTAATTATAGGTACATTGTTTGGTTAGGTGTTAAAAATGTAATTACTTACTCAGGATGAGACAAATACAAGCTAGCCTTTAAATTGAAAGTATAGGCCGCGACGAAGTTGCAAAGTATAGTGACCAAAAAAAATAATGGTATAATTTTGATCACGACTTTTGTCCAACGGGTCAGTGCAATTGCCAGGACGATTGAAAGTGCATACAGCTGCATGTCTACTGCAATGAACCTGAAAACCGATTTTCGCTTAAATATGAAGAGAAACCTGGTAAATTACGGCATGCTATATACAAACATTTAAATTCAATTTAAATAATTAAAAACAAATAAAAAGTACATCAAATAATTTATACCAAAACAATATTTAATAATTTCTGTATGTCAATAATAGGATAAACTCATACCACGTTTGTATCAGACAGCGATCGTCAGGGCGGTAAAAGTTATGTATGAAGAGCGCGTGGGACCACCACTTCATCCGGCAGAGCTGAGCTTCCTTCTCCATAATCGGAATCCACATCGTGCCGTCCGATATGAAACGGCTCCACGTTGCCGTAAAACCCACCATGAACATGTATAGTGGTAATATTCTGCAATGCACGTATCAGGAATTATGACTTTTGAAGGTAAAGGTGAAATAGGGTATCTCTTTAATTTTCGGCTCAAATTTGTTATTATAAATAATTCCATTTAGATAAGACATTACGGCCATGTTATTGTTTGCATAAAAATGGGGTTGGTGGGTAATACTAAAGCATAAAGTATTTTTTTTATCCTAAAACATAAATGAACAGTCTACGTTTGCAAAAATGTAGATGGGTGACACTACTGAAGGTGTCATTAATTAACTTTTTAATAGCTAAAGATTAAGGTGAATAATGATTTTATTGAATTTAATTCAAGGCTGAGATTTTGTATTTATTTGAAATTTGTTTTGAAGTATTTATAAGTTTTTATAAGAATTACGTTATGTAAATTTTATACAGATATTATAACGATCATTATAATCCTTCTACCTATTCGGTTCTTAAATTTATTTTACAAATCGTGAATTTTGTCTAAATAATAACTTTATATTAAGACTAAACTATATATAACTATTCTATACAAAGGCGACCACAAGCATGACATTTATTTTCCATACAAATGCACTTGTATGAATGGAAAGCGAATAAAATAATTTATTAACTGTTATCGTATCGTATATATATACATATATGAATACTTGAAAGTTCAAATCAAAATGTTTTTCTTGAGGGTAGACTAGAAGTAGAACCCGATGTAATACTTGGAAATAGCAGGGCCAACGTAGCCACCAAATGACGCGTAAGGAATAATGAAATTTTTATTATAAATTTATATACAGCGGACCTTGCAATGCGTCGTAGCAGCAGAACAAAGAATATGAGGAAAGGAGATCGCTTCTTGTATCGCTCATCCAAGAGTAGGAAATTATGGACGAAGATAAAACTGGAGAGCACGAAGAATGGTTGTACGCCCTGGCTGCCATTCATCAGAATCATTAATGCTGGTTGCCGCCCCATCTATTGTAAAGAAATACAAGTTGTTCATTTCGTATCTTTCTACTACCGAAAATCCGCTATACCAATACTTTCATGTATTTAAGTAGATTTTTTTTTATAAATGTTTTACAAGAGAGAGTTTATGAAGGTTTTTTATCAAGCTTGCAGTTAGGCGCTGACGTAACGTAACGTAACGTAACCGTAACGTTCTCACTTATTTACAGTATCCTGCAGTCAAGTATTAAGACTAAACCAAGCCCCACTTCAGTTAAAATAACTCACAGATTCTTGTGCTTTTGGGTTGTAAATGTAAGCCATATGTATCGCTACTGCCGAATGAGCCATCATTATTAATAGCAGGATAAATGATCTGAAATATTTATATACGACATTGAAAAATTTAAATAATATGCGAGTCTTAAAAATATATTAAAACTATCCTAATAAAGGTTTAAATGCATCAAATAACACTTCAAATACGAACATTGTTCTAAATTGCCATAAGCCATCCTACTAAATACCTATCGAACCGTTCACCATTCTTCCTCGTTAGCAATTAACTATTAGTGTACTCTCGATGATTCTAACAGCAGTTTTTTTTTAATTTTTGCGATAGTTTTTTTAATACACTTTTTGCTAGCCACAACGCTTGATATTTATTTCTTTCTAGAATATCTTAAATATTTTAAAAAGGATGTCTTACTTTATACCATGTATGGAGTTGAACCGGGACACGATGGTGTCTTCGTTGGGGTAAATATGAGTGAAGTTCTTGTAATTGCTAATAAGAGACCACGATAGTAGTAGCTGGTTGCCTTAAAACATATTAAGTTATAATTTACACACAGCATTGCAGCACACACAAAAATATTAGGGCTTAAAAATAAAAAATAAATTACCTTTGTTTGTCTTATCCCTAAAAATATCGTACATGGTTCCGAGTACATTTGCCGCAAGCAGCGCGATGAAGAGAGCTAAGAAAATATCGTCGGCAACATCACGCGGTACGCTCGGGGGTGTCTGCGCGTCCTTGCAGTAATCCAGGCGTAGCATGGAAGCTTCTAAGCCATATTGAGACCTATGACAAACACACGTACATCTGTATCTTCATAAGAACAAATTATTTCGTCGGCGTAAAAACGTATGGGCAAAGGTAATGATTATTATGTGGAAACCCTATATGTATCGTTGCGATACAATATCAATTAATTTTATTCGTATTTAATAAATACCTTGTGATGTTATTAACGCACTGCTGGAATTGCTGTTTAGGGGACATTGGCGTGTTAGATACGTTGAGGCAGCTCGTACTCAGGCACACTCCTCGATGCAGCTGTGTATGGTTGAACCGATATCTCGTATTGGAAGAAACCCACTAAAAATGGAATTATATAGAGTTTTTGTACAGTAATTAAATTATAAATGAATATAGGGTACCTGTAGAAGTCTGTAAAGTTGGTTGTCATTTGGTGCTGATAAGTGAAAGGAACCCAGGCAAAAAGTTCCATTCCTACCCAGGCACGCGTCATAATCGTCCAACTGGAATAGCGGTGGCATCGCATAGTATAAATCATCTGAAAATGATTTCAGCTATGTAATATGTTCATATTTGATTATCTTTATTCGTTCATAATATATAAAAAAGGAAAAAAACATAAAAGGATTAAATTAAACTATGATAACGTCAGTATTAACAATAACAAATTACTTTCATATTAATATTTTTGGACAAAAACATCTACTTTACATATTTCCTCATAGCTTACACGGTAAATCTTACAATTCATGATGTATGTATGAATTATGCTTTTTTTTCATTAGAGTTCGAGTTCCGCGAAAGGTATAAAAAATGTATTCCTCCGAATGAGCGACACGTTTTATTTAACGTGGTATCACGTGGCTTTAAAAAAATAAAAGAAAAGTTAAGGATAACTGATACTTGCTATTTCAATAAAACTCATATCTTTTAAGTATATCTGACTTAGAGTCATGAAACAAATACACAAGGGAAACTGTTTTGTGTAAGCGATCTTAAATGATTGCTGCTTGATTTTAATAATAAATAATAATAAAAGAAACTATTCCGGAATGAGACTTATTTATATTCACATAATTACCACTTAGTGGTAGAACCGAGTTTTGAGATTAAGATACTTTATTATTATAGTTTTGTCTAATAGCAATAAATTCAACCAAAAACTAATAGGTGCTCATCGGGCATCTCTGATCAAGTTAAAAATGTAATTCAGCGAAAAATACATCTCGTTCATAATCCTGCTTCGTATAGACGGCAGGAATCGTCAATAACAATAAATAACTTACCAGTTATATCATTGACACTTTTCAAATGAGAAAATTTCAACGTTTGTGAAATAGTGTTAGACTTCGAAGAATTATTTTTCTCTATTATTGCATTCATTTTATCGGGTATCCATTTTTGTGCACTAGACTTGTTGGATAAGAAAATCTGTTCTGGACAGACGTCATGCTGATCTAAAATGAAAAAAACACACAAAAAAGTAATATCGAAATTACTCAAATAACACGCACAATAACAGTTAGCAATTTTTAATCACCAATTGCATAGCAATGCCTAGTGTAATCCTCTATCTAAATTCATCATTTACATCTTGTAAATAATGAATTTATACGTTATTTATAAAATCTGTGTAAGCATTATTATCTATAAATTTTAATATTTTTGTGTTTGCGTTTCCCCATTTTTCAAACTAAGTACGTATTACAATTCACATTGCATTGCGGTGCTGTTTATTTGTAGCCCACAAAGCCTCTGTAAAGGCTTTCGAGGGTTCTTAAAGCTATTTTGATGTAGACAAACGAATGCCTGAACTAAAGTGCACAATTACATTCATTATTATTCCATATACGACATTGGACTAACAGTGTCCTTTCTACAGCACAATTGTTAGGGATTTTAAGCCGTACCGTCCTATAATTTAGGAAATAAAAGCTGCTTTCCAAATGGGATATTTCCCATATCGAACCATGGAACCCTCGGTACTAGACATAACATAGGCAAATAGGTATATTCAATAAAATCTAGCCCTTTACTCTTAAAAGAAACAAATACCATTCAATTTTGCCTCTACCACAGTTAATATCACTAACAACAGCCACTTAACCATCTTAAAAGACACGCGTGGTTACTGCAATCACGCGAACTTACGACTCAATTCTATGACCTTGTGCAGTTTTATATAAAGTCAAGATTAACTTAAAAATTTATTATAATTACATACCTCGATAAAAAATAATTTTAAGATTCTTTTAATAAGAGTATATTCAGGCTTTTTTATTAGAGTGGGCATAAATAACATATTACTTAAAGACATTAAATTGTATTGAAAAATATTCAAAATAAACTAGGTACTAAAAAACTTTTTCTTATTTGTTATTATTACCGGATAAGATAAACGTGGTTATTGCAATACGTACAATTATTACCTATATAAAAATAATGCATAGCATTCTGATTTTGTCACTCTTGACATTTCTATTGTACTATAATTTGACTGCAAAACAAATATTTCCAAACATAAAATTGCCTATGTAATGTAAAGAACTCAGAGAGACATTTCCAATTTTATTATTTTTTAATCAGTTTTTGCAATAATTACTTACAATTATTAAACAAAGCATTCTCCTTCATTCCCAAAGCATTCTGATTATCACTTTTGCCATTTGCTATTGTACAGTGTACTATAATTTAACTGGAAAACAAATATTTCCAACCATGAAATTACCGATGTATTTTATAATTTATTGTATGTTATATATGCCGACCAAATGCGTGACTAGTGGCGTGACTAGTCGTGAACGTATCTTCTTTGCTGGGGGTGGGCATCCCTAGTATATAACTTTGTTTGTTTTCCTATCATGCAGGGCTCTGATAGGATGAACAGTTAATAATACCCTAGCTACTCGTGGGAACACCATGGAACTTAGTACAAATATCTTCCAAAATTGAACGGGGACGTGGCTCGCCACCTGCCACATTACGTTTCGCGAAGGGGCGAGCAGCACGCGGAGAGCCGTTTTGCTACCTTTAATGTGTGAGGGGGAATGGATGAGAAAATATGTGAGTTGTGCGATATGATGTGTGAAAGGCATATGACGTATTGTGTCTGTGTGTGAATGAGAAAGCTGAAGCAAAGCGATGTGAGTCCACAAAGCCCGAACTTCCTGACCATTAGGTAGCAAGTTCGGGCTTTGTGGACCCGAATCAAGTCAGGGATGCCCCAGCAGCTGCTTTCATCCTTTCTGCGCGTACTTACGAAGAAAGGGTTATGAGTGTGTAAATTTTAGGATTCCTCTGGATCAGATTAAATGTGGCTCTAATATGACTTTTTATTGTTGGAGTATATGCTCCAACCGACACAGGTATGGTGAGCACCCAAAGTGTCCAACAAGAAATAAAAGAGTTTTGTCATAGATACTATGTGCAAAGTTAAGGAGAATGAGAATATTTTAATGTTAGGGTAATTTCAGCGACCCAAGAGTGAATGATAATGGAATTTTCTGGAGATGTGTTTAAATAAAAAAAAATTGCGTGACAAACACTAGGTTTGATGACAAGAATATTCATATGAAAACCTGGAAAAGACGAGATAGGATAAGTGTGACTTTGCAATACTAGACGAAAGGTTAAGGAAATGGGTCGTAGATAGCAGGGTGTATCGTGGCATGCTCAAACACACCGACGTTTTATTGAAGATATCTCGTAATAAAAATCTATTCTATAAACAGGGTATGACAATGATATAGAAAGACAAATAGTGAATGCTAGGATAGAGTAAATGGAGCGTTGTATTCCTTTGCGTGTAGCCCATAAACCTCAAACGAGGCTCGGATACAGTGATTTTTGGGTGTGGCAGAGAAATAATGAAAATATTATAAACGCCGTGGAAATGAGAGGGTTAAGAAGTATGTGTGGTATAACATTCCGTAATATCATAATATTCAGTAATAGTGAGGTTAAAAGAGGACGTAGTGACAAGGAAACGAAAGGTAATGCCTAGGTGGTTTGGCCATGTAGAACGGAAGAATGAGATGTGAACCGTGGATGGTGAAGTCCGATTGGGTAGGCCTTGTCGTACATACCTCGATCTAATCCAGTTTGTACTAGAGAAGGGACTTGTACCTACAACTGACTGGTATACATGGTAAATGTCATGAAAATGGATGAGAGAGGAATTTCAGGACTCAGAACCGTAGTATGTGGAGATCCGTGGTCACTGGCTACCCCTTCGGAAAAAAGGCATGAAGGTAATTTGAAGGGATTGACAAACCCAATCGCCAGACCCGTCTTTAAACAGAACAGCTGTTTTGGTTAAAAGCGTGTTGAACTCAAAACCTCTTCGTTCGGGTTTTTCGAATCTACGTTTCGGCTTCTTATACATATATATATCGACGTAGGAAAGCATATTTGCTGTAAGTAGACATATTGCAATTGTTCACCAGAGCCAAAAAACTTAATTCATTTCGGAAAAAAATTAATAGTGTCGAACCTATCCATGATATTGCTACCATTTTTGAAACATATATTTATTTAACTGCCAGTCACCATTTGCAATGTAAACTTTTTATCCAAAGTTACTATAAGTACGTGTTTGGCTAGTTACAGCATACAGTTTTTTATATCGAAACCTTTAAAACGCTGTAACTAAGGAAGAAAAATGTACGCGCGGAAATATTATCAATTTACAGCCGGTAAATATGCTGTATGCAGTAAATTTATGTATTTGGGTACTTTCAATTGCAATTCAAGATGTAAGATTAGTTTATAATTATGATTAGATCTAGAAATGCAGTGGGTCATTTGGTAATGTAATGTTTGGTTGTAATAACATGTCGAAAATGGTAAAAAAAAACTAAAACTGTAGGTTCCATAAGCTTGCTGTAAGTAAACGAATGTAAAAATCACACGCCGCAGAAATGCTGTAAGTAGCGTTAAGTTTTTAAATGGGAAGAAGTAAGTATTTGTAAAGTAAAAAATGCAGATTTTCTTTTGCTGTAAGTACAAATTGTCTAAAATGACTGGATTTTGGTCTACATACAGCATTTAATCTTACTAAAAAAAATATACCTAAGTACGGGCGTTTTCAACCGCGTATGTAATTTTTTTTTCATCGTAGAGACACAGGACCCGGGACATTCGATGCGGTTTTTTTTTTCTGATTCTAATGGCAGTAAAAAGTCACTTTAGGTATTTTGTCTACTTACAGCAAATATGCTTTCCTACGTCGATATATATATGTATGTATATACCTTATATACCTGTAGATAGGTAGTGATTTGGGTGCAATGTTGTCCGATGAATAGATATCAAAATATAAACTTAAATATCTCAAAAACGCCTGTTTTTTATTTTTGAAGTTATACTTCTTTAGGCGCGTTATGAAAAATTTATAAGAGTGAAATTTTACGATGCGCGCGCACCTGTGACACAAAATTGGGAGTGTGATTATAGCGTGCGCGAGCGAGATAGGAATAAGACAATCTACAAGTAAAAATAAATAGAATATGCGTGAAGTTCGTATGCCAAGAATTTTGAATGACCATAAAGACATTTGTCATTTACCTTTTAAACAAATAAAGGAGTTTTGATTAATTTTTCAAAGAAATTTATTAATTTTATATTGTGCAATACTGCCAAAGCTACAACATACTTCTTAGTGTTTGGTAGAGATGTTCTAAATATATAATTATATATACTTTTAACTAAATAGAATTTATGTTACACTTAATGTAAGAGAATAATAATAAATAATTATTTATTTAATTTTTCAAATGTAAACTGAACTTAATTGACTATAATGACTCCTTTTCCAGTCTTTGATTATTTAATTGTAATTAATTATTTGCATGCAATCAAAAACTATTTTTAATAATGCCAAAGAAGTATAACTTCTTACGCGCGTACATAAGTACACGCACCCTTTTTTTTTATTTAAAACGAGGCAAACAGTTTTTCGTTACAAAAAAAAATTGTTCTTAAATTTATGATTAATAAATAAATATTTTCGTTTTAGTTCAGGGGCTAATTTAAAAACTCATTTAACCTAAATTTTAGTTGAGAGTGTCCTACTATATTATTAGTATATTCTACTCTGACCTACTGTAAAGTAATCTGTGCTCTCGGCTCTGTGAAGTTTTGAATGTGATCTATGAAGTGAGGGGTATAGATGCAAATGCGCTTCTATCCACTTTTTCAAGTTCTTCAAAATTAGCAAGAAACCGTTTCTTCTCTTGAACACACTTTATTATCAATCAAATAAATAGTTTTAAGCATCAAATTGATACCGATTTTCAATAATACCTTCAATTTCTTTTTATAAGTAGAGGTAAAGTACAAATAAAAACATAAAATCTGGATAGAGGCCATTTTGCATCTAATCAAAGGATAGAAGCGATTTTGCATCTTATCCTATAGGATAGAAGCGGTTTTGCTCTGTCATTGGTCGCGTGGATGGTTTTATGCATTCGATGATTCAGGATGATTCATTTAAATGAACTGAGTTCTCTGTGAAAGTAAAACTATCAATGTTGACGCAAATGAATAAAATTGATTTTTATAGAAGACTACCTACGATATAAATAAGTTAATAACGCAAAAATCCGTGACAATAGCTTTATTGTGGAACTTACATACCAAAATAGTAATGATAATACAAAAAGCACAATTAATGAGATATATAGGCCTTCTTTTTCTTTCGCTTAGTTCTAGATTTATCTCTAAACTCACATTAAATCGTTCATCCTTATCTATTACATTATGACTGATAAAGATGAACAATGATTTGATGTGAACTTAGTAATAAATCTAGAACTAAACCAAACATCAAGAGGGCCTTGAACTTATGAAATGACAGATGTGACTCTCAAATTAAATCAAAATTAAACAGAAATGCCAACCTCTTCTAGGTATTCGCACTGCTCTACATTCCCAGTTTCATCATGGTTTGTGTTTTCCAAAACATTTTTGTAATACACGAGCTTATCAGATCCTAATTCCATCTTCCAATTTTCACCAAAATGTTTCGACAAAAGTTTGTCCACATCATTTTGTTTCAAAGCTGATACGCCCGTTTCAAATGGTGCCACATCTCTGATACCAAATTCTGAGGTTGAGGATATACCTCGTTTCATTACACTTTTAGCAACTCCAGTGTCACTTTTGTAGTGAACCTCTCCTCTGAGAAGAAACCGTCCCGGCTTATTCTTGACTCTAGTGACATAGTACCTCTTGCATTCTGCAAATTTAAAATGGAATTTCCCAGGGGGCGTCATTGTTTCATTTGCAAAGGCTTTCCAATTTTTCAAAAAATTAAGAATGAAAATGTTACGTTATATAATAATAACATAATAATTTAATACCTAGAGCTTCGTGATCTTGTATGTCTTATTGCATAAACATGACCAATCACAAAGCAAACGAAACTTACCTTTTACACTTTTCCATGTTGCGTTTCCACTTATTTTCATTTCTAATCCTCTTCCTTGCCTTATTCCCTTGGACAGGAGTAACATTAATTTCCATTTTGTGTTCAATTTCTAATTAAAAACAGGAAAATAAACAACGCAATGAAGAACAGCAACAGATGGTCGCCATTATGCTTCCAAACAAGCATCACGTACTGTGCTGTGTCAATACTGTGCTGTGATTGGTCGAGCCGCGATAGAGGCGCTTTTGTTACTCACGATCGGATAGAGGCGTTTTTGCATCTAACTGCTTACTTCTTATGTGATTTTGTATAGGATAGAGGCGGCTTTGGTCGTATTTTACTGTATGAAACCAAAGAGAAATAGAAGGTTTGCCAGAATAAAAAAAAAACAACAAGGGCTTGAAAGTGGATAGAAGCACTTTTGCATCTATACCCCTCAAGTGTGAAGTGTCAAGTGTGAAGCTTTTGAGTTTAGCTATTATACTTTATACAAATTACAATTGGTGTGAAGTCAGGGATCAGAAGCGATAATTTCCATTTTATTATATCAATATATAGACAGATTCCTGAACAAACTGGAAAAAAGATGAGCGGTGCTACTGTTTTGAAGCTAGAAATGGATTCTGATTTGTGTGGGGTATGTGGCTGCAGCGGAGAGCTAATGACACCAGAAGAGTATGATGCTTCTGAGTTACCACAAGTGCCGCTCAGAAGTATGCTTTTGCAGATTAATAACCATAAGGTACAATAATATTATTTCTATAATTTCCAGGCAGACTAAAATAAATTTAACTATCCTCTTGCCTCTTTATTTCCCGAAACCAATTCAAAAGTTTTATAAAAATTGAAGTTTGCAGAGAAAATAATCAGCCAAAACATTCTCATTACATTTTTACTCTGAAATTTCTAGGTAATACCAGAAGGTAGACTCTGTTCAAGCTGTATTAGAAGAGCTGTTGATGCCTATCAGTTTAGTTCAGCCCTATCAGCCAAAGGTACTCCGTCTTTAAGTGATAAAGTTAGGCTTCTTCGAAAAAGACTCCTGGACCTTACTCAGGTACAGATATATTGGTATAAATAAAATTGAATTAAGTTGCTGAAGTTTTATATCTTTACTTACCTTAAGTGTATATTCCAATTGCTGTGACACTTGATTATTATATTATGCTGTTGTTGGTTACATGAAAATTTTATCAGACACTCATCCCTATTTGCCTGATTAAATATGCTGTAAAAAGGCTTACAACACATTTATTATTCCAGAAAATAGATGTGTTCATAGTTGTAGGAGGCCAAAACAAAGAGTCAGGTGCAATGTATAATGAAGATGACATTATCATGGTTGATCGCGATGCACTGGCTTCGGCAGCAGCTTTTGATACTGATGACCTGGAAAAAGTTAAGAATGCAGCAGGGGAGTCTGTTTATCAGTGCACAGTTTGTCCAATGTCATTTGAGGTCTGGTTAATTTATTTATGAGTGATTCTTTAATATTTTCTTTTCAAAGTAATTATCAGCACTTATACCTTATTCATTCTTTTCTGAATGTCACATATAATTAATATTTCAGGTGGCTAGTGAATACCGTAGTCATGTGAACAGTCATGGAAGCAGTGCAAGGCATTCTTGCTGGACATGTGGGGCCCAATTCACATCATTAGAGGCTTTTCAGGATCACACCTTATTGCATCGTGTTCAGGCTAATAATCAGGTTACGAATTTAAAGTGTAATGAGTTAGAACTAGGTTCATCTATTCTTTTTTATATGAACACTGTTAATCTTCAGAACATTTTTTTTTTCAATTATAATATATAACTAATATCTGGTCCACATACTACTTTAAAATAAAATTAGGCCTCGACTGAGTTGAGATGGTGGCTCCCATAGGACATAACATGCCTCCTTCAGCATCCCTTTCATTTTATTATTTATTAACTTCCTCTTTTACTGTCCATAGTCTGCATTATACATTTTATGTTAATATATTTGTTTGGTAATTGAAGATACATGAGTAAGTATGGAGTAATATATCTTTCATAATTCTTCTTTATGTGCCACACAGGTCTGCCAAGAAGCTACAATTATTTTAGTTAACAAATATTCAGTATACTAATCTAGAACTCATTAATTTACAGCTAGTAAATTGTTGTCCGGTATGCGAAGAAACATTCTCATCCCAGTCAGAGTTAGGTGCGCATGCAAGGGCAGTGCATACCAGCGGTATCAGTGTTTGTGAAGTTTGCTCAAGTGCAGTTCCAGTAGATGAATTACCAGCCCACCGTCTGGCTCATAGACAGGCTGACCGCTTTCTATGTGGATATGATCTCTGTATACTACGGTTTCCTACTAGGTAACCTTAACATATAATTTACAATGCTTGCTATAAGGTTTTTTTATCATTTTAAAATATTTTTACCTAACGAATTTTTGTAAAAATTAAAACTGCAAATATAACCTCTTTTAGTTTAATATCAGACTACACTGCTCACTGCTTAACATTTCCTGATTAATTTATGTTTTTAAATGATATATTTAGGAGTGACTTAATGTCTCACATACGATCATGCCATGCGGGTACCGCTGGACCTGACGTGAGTATCGACAAACCTCAAGGGGGGCAAGCTGATGGGGCAACAGGCCAAACTTCTAGGACAATGGGGCATACTGGAGATTCGGGAAGTAGCGAACGAATTGTGCCTTGCGCCAGCTGCGATCGAATGTATGTATCTTGTATATCTTTATGAAATTGCATGTGTGACACACATTAAGTTAATTTATATATTTTTTTCTATATAAATTACAGTTACAATAATAGTCGTTTCGGAGATCCATGGATCCATCTTTTATTTTGAAATCTTAAGAATTTTGAAAACCTTTTACTATTACTTTACTTAACCAAGAAAATTATATTCTTTAAATTTATTAAGTATATGTAATAATATGTAGAATTCTTTTTCTTAACTCACAGGTTCGGATCGGTCGCGGCCATGAAGCGACACTCACGTGTTCATCGGCGCGAAGAAACGCAACAGGTTTTTATCAATTAATTTTCTATTCAATATTATCAAAACCTTTATTTTTTAACAAAAGCATCTCCAATCATACTCACGTAACATGGTCGTTTAACTAAACACAAAAGAAGTTAAATCGTTTGTATACTAATACATTGTTCAGTAGTCCACTAACTTCTCTGAAAAATGACAAAAATATGAACTACGATCGCGATTCAATCGACGATTCAATGTTGGAAAAATTGTAATAATAATCTATCCATAGAAACTAGTTAAAATAATGTATATTGTTTTAGGACGAGGAATGGGTGGCACCTACTGGAGTCAGTAGAGATGTTGAATATCTTGAATTTGAGACCCTGGATGACCTCCGGGACTATCCCATGGAGTAAATCTGATTGAACCTAGACACCTATATAATGTTTTTGTTTCTGTAAAAAAAGAGAGTTGTCTTCCTACCAACATTGAATAATAGGGTAAAAATGGTATTTCAGCCCCTGTATTTAAAAATAAATAGTAAGCATATTTTTTTCCAAAACTTGCGGCACATCATAGTGAATTATTCTTTGTATCAATGTTGGAATTTTATTTTACCCCCACCATCTTGGAAGCCCCCAAATATATGTTTCTAGATAATTGTGAACATTAAATCCCTTTTATCTTTAACTATGTATAAATATAATAAATCATAGGTGTATGAATTATAATGTTTAATGAAGGACAAGACAGGGGTTAAAAATCCTTTTTTGAAAAAAAACAAATAAATGGTAACAGTAAAAATTTAATAAATAATATAACTATAAGGATAATCTATTTTATGTAATTAGTTCAAAGTTATCACAGACAATTTTATAAAAACTGAGTCAAAAGAAAAAAGTGCCAACTTTATGAGATTTGGTAGTTTGGAACTACTGTTACAAATCTATGGCAGAACATATATTTACATGTATTAATAGACATTAATTTATCTGAGAAATTTCACTGTAATTTCAAGGTCTTCCTTATAAAATAAGATAAAGAGTTCTAAGTAGTACTAAGGATGAGTAGATTTTTTAAATTATATCTGATGGTTTTTTTGGTTGTTCTCTGGTAATAATTGCTACTCGCCGCTTCTTGACCAGTTTCCCCCCACGCCATACACTTTTCTCATTGGACAAAACCGCATGATTAAACTGGTATCGCGCCACGCCGCTGTAAGACATGACAGGTTGTAGTGAATTAAGCTCACAGGAACTTTAAAAACAATTTTTTTAGACACATGTACTGTATCTTGTTTATATTTTGTGTTAATTAGGGTTTAACCCAAAAACATAATTCTTTATGTAATCATGATGCTAATTATGACTATAAATTACCTATAACTAAAATTTATAACATGCTGAATTAGAAAATGAATTGACTAAAATTATATTCCTTATTACTGGTAAGGAATATAAGCAAATTACCAGTAAAGTGACACTAAACACTTTTGAAGTTTTGGGTTAGGTTTGGTTGATTTGTGCTTTTATGTTATGTTAAAATGATGCTAATATTTATAAGCTTATCTGATAAATAAGCCTATTTAAAGAAGCTAAAAAACTTCTTCATCCATCATCCAGTTGCTGTAAATATGAATTTATAATTATGTCTTGTGTACCTCATAATGTATAGTGATCTTCTTGGCAGCAATGCATCTAAGACATAATCAGGACTGTTCTCATGCATGAGCCTCATTACAGCTCCAGACAACAAGCACAGACCTGCTATGGTGTCACCACAGAACTGTAATTAAACAGTAGGCATATCAATCAGAGTTGAAATAAAAAAAATACAATTAAATTAGCAGATTTAAAAAATCCTTTTCTTCTAAGGTACCTTCATGACCAAAATAAGTGGTAAAGTAGAACATGACCTACCCGAACAGCATCAACATGAGGCTTAATATACCCTGCAGGTGCGAGGTCTAAGACATGTGTATGCGGAAGGAGCTCTATACCATTCTCAAATGCAACTGACCGAACTCTTGCCAGAGTCACACTGTTCTGCTCGTTCCATGCTTGACGCTCTGTTTCACGATAGCCTTCTATTGCCTTAAACAAATTCAACAACATATTATCTTTAAATGATAGCTAAAATCTAAATTATCTTGATGAAACAGAGGGCCAGACAAATGTGTAGCATTATGTTTCTGTACAATTATACCACATATGTATTATATTGGTGTACATAAATAGCACATACATTATCCCAATGATCAAACTCATATCTCATCCGTTTAAGCTGCGGTTCCACCTCAGATAGCAGAGAAATTTCTTCTGTCTCGTTAATAAAGTCAGGAATCACTCGCATATCACGTAGGACCTGCTTTCTTAAGTCTGTTTCCTCGTCAGCTTTCCATGACGGATGAAATTCTATTAAGCTAGGGTCGCCTAAAAATTACATTTTATCGTAATATATTAAATGCTAAATTATACATATTATATATTCATCCAACTTCTTTCCAATCTAACTTACCAGAAATCTTTTGTATCTCACCCTTCGGTTGTATAACCTTTTCAGTAGAACAGAAAAATCGCAGTTTATTAAGATCGAAGTTACAACTTCGTAATAGGTTTAAGGTTAGTAAGCGCATTTTGTAAATGTATTGGTAATTTTAATCTAATTTAATTTTCTACTCCGCTTTAAAACGTAACTAGTCTAAAAATTCAGAATTTTACTTGTTTTCTTTTGTATTGTTTAATTAGAAAACAAAAGCTATTTAGAAATTTGAATTTTCCACTTTCTGTATTCTCGGTGTCAATTGTCAATACGCTATGATTAACAAATTCACATTAACAGTCAATTTCAAAATCAGCTGTGTTGACTTTTTCATAATACATGTAATCATTAAAACTTTGTTTTTTTAAAAAACAGGGAGCAAACGGGCAGGAGGCTGACCTGATGTTAAGTAGTGGTATCTCTCAATGCCAGAGGGTAAAAAAAGGCATTTTAAGAATTTGTAAGCTCTTTTCTTGAAACAAAGGACCCTAGTTGAATTGGTTATGAAATACTTCAGTGGGCAAATGGTTCCACTTAGGATACGCGTGGAATTTTGTATTCTGCCTTGACCTCCAATGATGAAACTCTGAAAACTGAAAGGATTAATATCTGCATTAATCCGAATAACCCCTCCGAATACTCTCTGTGGTAAATGCGGTATAAGATACAGAGAGACCCCACTTCTCTACGCTACGCCAAGGAATCAAGCCGCTCGAAATATTAAAGAGTTGTAAGCATTGGCCAGAAGTAAAGTACCACTGAAGTATTTCCGAACCAATTCGACTTAGGGTCCTTCAAGAAAAGAGCGTACCAATTCTTAAAAGGCCGGCAACGCACTCGCGAGCCCTCTGGCATTGAGAGTGTCCATGGGCGGCGGTATCACTTAACATCAGATGAGCCTCCTGCCCGTTTGCCCCCCGTTCTATAAAAAAAAAAAAAAATTACCGTCTCGCCTTGATTGTACGGATCAGAGCGTTACATCGTACATCCTAGCCCTTTTTAGGGATAGGATGTATTGAAGCGGTATTACAGCACATCGGGACAGTGCCGAGCGAATACAGGTACCGGAAAAGAAGCATTAGGACCGGAGCCAACTTAGTATTAGTATTCTTACATTCTTTTTTTTTTGCGACTGAAGCGCAAACTAGCTGCTGTGGTCTCTGGCAGAATGATCAGCGCTATGGAACAGTCTGCTCCTCAGCATAATGCTGAGCCAGGGCTAATTACAACCACATTACACACTTAAAACGAACTAATAAAAAAAGAACTAAAGAAAAAGGAGTAAACTCCAATAAAAAAAATTTTTTTTTGGAGTTTACTCCTTAAGAAACGATTTGAGTTATAAGGCCCGGTACGGAAATTTTATGAGGAGTAAAATCAAGTGTAACACGAAAAGTTGAGGCGTTATGTAGAAAGAGACAAACATATATATCTGTAGGATTTAACATGTAAAAGAATGAGATGGAATACATTACACAGACTTTTCTATTTTGAATTCACGTTTTGACAGCCACGTTACAACATTGTCTACAGTGTTGACAGGTGTAAAAAATAAAAGTAGATTGTCTAGCGTGCCATTGAGTTTTGTCAATAGTAATGGTCAGTGAAATTAAAACTAAAAAGATTGTTAATTCTTATTCTTCTCTTACTATAAAGGTAACTTTGGTCACAGAAAGAAAATCCTATTTGGGCATAGATGATGTAGGTACGTTTTATTACTACTACAAACATTAATTATATTATAAAAACATAATACACATATTCTTACCACCTTTAGTATGAAAATATGGTCGACAGCCACAGAACATTATCGCCATTTTATCGTTCGTAACGAGTAAACTCCAATCGTGCGTCGTAGCTGACACACACACACTTTTTTGTTATATCTCATTATTTTTTTTATTTTTAAAGTGAAACTTCTTTAGGCGCATGAGTGTAAAAATTTTACGGATGAAACGCAATAATAATAATATTAGCGTCACGAAAATGTGCAGCGTTTTTGTCGAAGAAAAGGGAGAGAGCGATTGATACCGATTTAGAGAGAGTGAGAAAGGGCGAAAGTAGCATGAAGCAAATAACCATGGAGCGAGAGTAGGGAGCAAGCAAGTGAGAAAGATCGAGAGAGAGAGTGAAATACAGCGACCGTCGCATCACGCACAGTGCCACGGAGCGAGAGGGGGGGAGAGAGCTATAGTGAGAAAGATTGAAATAGAGAGTATGGGAGATCGAGAAAAAATACACGCTATTGGTTGATGTATTCGTTTAGTAGTTACATATTAAAACTTTAGATGGCAATTCTGCGTTTACTGCACAAATAACGTCTTGTGCAGTAAACGCAGATTTTTTATTTATTTATATTTTATATTATCATTAGCATGTGAATGTGAATATAGATATACAAATAAGGGAGTGATCATATGGTACATGATCATCTATTGGGGCATTGACCTTAGTAATAATAATTAATTTACATAGAAGTTTCACTTCTGACATGTGTACTTTGTACGCACGCACTTTTTTATTTTTTTTCTTTGATTATTGTTATTATTTGGGTGTGTTTTTGTTAGTAATAAGCAAGGCGTCTTCTATTTGGTCGGGCAGCATATCGGCGCACACAAGATCGGCACGCACAATGGCCCAATAACAATTTAGTACATTTGTTTTTATTGTAAGCGTCATATATTAGCTCATTTCTTTCTTATGTGCATGTGTTCCCTTAATGTACAGCACACTGAATATATTTAAAAATGGATATAAAATGTTAAGTCTCATCAATATTTATAATAATTTCTGTTTTAGCAAAAATAGAATCGATTGAGTTAAAATTTAAAAAAAATATGCTTGTTTCATTTGTCCCTTGATTGACGACAATTTGAACATTTTTTCTTCTATAAATATTGAATGTTGGCGCGTTTATTACACTTGAAGTGTAAGGGGCTCAGGTTTTTTTAATTTCTTTTATCTACATAGTAGTCTATCAGGCACGCGATCAGCTCAGGTGTTTGCACCGTCGAACATTTAATTTAATTTTTTTATTTAAAAAACAGAAGGGTTAAACCATAAATCATTCGCAACATATTATTGTCACGTTTCATACTATTATTCGTTTAATGTATTATATACAGTAGCCCGATGCATACGATAATTTTACAGCCCTAGTGCGATAGCTGCCTGACTTTACGTTGTGAACACTGGCTCGAAGTGCAGCAAAAGCAAGGAGGATTAGCAAGCGTTAGCACGCCATCGGCAAAGGTGGTGGTTCTCTAGTTTAGGAGGCCATGGTTCATTTTGGACCGTACCTATGGGTCACCGTTTACTTAACTTATCTTGTGTCTATGTGTATTTGAAGACCAGAAAATATAATGCTCATTCATGTAAATATTATTTTTAACAACATTTTCGTAAGTACTTTATAGCTAGTAAATTACCTACTAATACTATTCTGCACTATTACATTACTATGCTGCTCTTATATTAATAACAATAGGCCGTATCCCTGCGCAGAAACATCCTCTCCACTGTTGCTTAGGTTCTTCTTGACAGGAACTATGTATTCTAAATAACAGGTCGACTTAACGTTAAGTGATGAACACTTTTAACAAGTTAGTGATGACCACGTCGCGTCGTGACTTCCGTTGCGCAAAGCTAATGCCTATCTGACAGGCTCAAGGTAATGTTTTGTGGCGATTAACTTTTGATACTTGATTATAATACTAGTAATGACGATTATTCTATGATTACACCTTCGCGACATTCACTAACAAGCAAAATTGATGAATTTGAGGACTTAGCCTTGTCACACTAAGAAATAAATACAAGCATTGCATACAATAAATACGTGGGTTTGAAGGTGTTAGTTTTCATCGTTTTAATATTTACCCTAAATCAATACTGGGGGCCTACCATGAGCTTTCTTAAAACAATCCAGTTGAAATGAGCAGTTTAGGTTCCTAAATTTAATAGCATTTTACCGTACCATGACCTATAAACTGAAACGTATTGGCATCTCAAAACCGAACGATAGAACAATAACTTTGTGGTTTCTAACAACACGCAAAAACATAGTCGAAATAACTAACAGCACTGCATACACGAATTCAAGTCCAACAGATACCACAAGTAGTACCCGTTCACGAGTATGACGCATGGCCAGCCATCGGCCCCCTCGCCATATTTTAGGGACAGAGACAACCCGACGCATGGACGCAGCCACAAGCAATGACATTTAAGCGATTATGACTGAAATAATTTGATACCACATGGATCACGGTTTGTTTACATTAAAACAGTCGTGGATGTTGACGATCGCCCCAGTGTCTGGATATGCAGCCTAGAGGTTCAGTCGCGTTACCACTTTATACTGGAGCAATTCATATCCAAGCACTAGTCGTTTAATATCGGTCGTTTAAAAATTCATTTGTATTACAATAGGCCTTAGCAAGCAGCTTTACTTTAATGTACGATTTAGATAATTATTTATTGACAACATTTGTATCTCGCTAGGTATTTTGTTGAAAAAACGTATATGTTATAATTGCTTGGAAAGAATTACTCGTTTGTGGTTCGTGCGCTAATTTTGTCTTTATTACCAGTAGGATAATTATGGAAGCTACTATTATTTTTAAAGATATCTATATCTTCGGATCGCTCTTATATACCGCTTTTGCACTACAAATATCGATTTAATGTCAGCTGCATTACCCAACATAATAATAATAATAGTTTTCCTTGATATAGAAAAGTTTTGAAAATAAGTTTTAGGGCAAAGACGATATTTGCTGAGTTCTTAATCTCACTCGCCCCGTGTTATCTTTTTCAACTTTTTATAAAAAATATTCTAAAAACTGAAAAAATTGCAAATGCGTGGTTTCGAATTAAATTATGCTTTATTCAACTTAATGATTAGCGTAATCATGTGTATAGAATATATTATCCGTCGTGAGGTCCTTGTAAGCGTTAAGGATAAAGTCGTTGAGTTGCATACACAATAATGCTCACTAACTTCTCAGTATTTTGATGGTGTGAATCTTGCGTCATAAAAATAGATAAATATAATTTGTATTATACGTACAGATTAGCTTTATATTTTTTCAT